TAGGTAACGGTGCAAGCGATGTGAAATATGGCGATCGGACGTGTCGACTCTCCGAATTGCGAAGTTTATGCGTGCGGGAGTGCGAATTGCGCAGAAGGCCACCCTAAGGCTCAAAAAGTCCTATAGGGATCCCTTTTGGGTTCCTCATGTTGGTTTCATCCTTTTAAGTGTTAGAAGTCGATACCACACACGCGAAACCACAAAAGAATACAGAAGCGGGTTGAATTTCTAGAACAAGGCGGGTCCCATTTCTAAGGTTCTAAGATAGTCGAAGGGAGATCCCTAAGGCTAGATCCTAAACCCTAAGAGGAAGACTAGACCTCGCTAAAAATGAGGTCAACAGCCCCAAGCATTTGCTGACCAATGCATCTTCTCTGCTAGATAAGTTGACTGAACAAGATGAGATAAAAACAAAAAAAAAAGTGGCCCATGCGATTAAACCTGAAATCAGTTCGGCCTTTGCTGAAGCGTTGAAATCATTTATTTTGGTAGAACAAACTGCACTGATATGCACAAGTACATCTGAATCATTGAAACGTTTTCAAATAGGTCTAATCATTTCCGAATCGTAATTCACCTGATATGCATCGGTGGATCAAATACTAAAGACTTTGGTGCTACAAAGAAGATTTTTGGAATGAAAATTCATCAAGATAGAGGCTCAACACGACTGTGTTTATCTCAACGAGGTTATGTTGAGAAAGAGATAAACAGATTTGAAATGAGCAAAGCAAAGTCTGTGAGCACTCCATTAGCAAATCATTGTAAACTTTCTTCAGAAGTGTCCTAAGAAAAATAGGGAAATCGAAGATATGGCAAAGGTTCCATATGTTAGTGCGGTTGGCTGCTTGATGTATGCAATGGTACGTACTCGCCCTGACTTGGCTCATGCTATTAGTCAAGTCTGCAAAGACATGTTTAAACGTGAAATGCGACATTTGGACGCATTCAAGTGAATTTTCAGGTATCTGAAGAGTATTGTAGGACATGAAATTATGTTGACAATCAGCAAATTGATCCTTCAGTTATAGAGTATATGGATTCAGGCTATACAATTGATTTGGATGACAAAATGTCTACAATTAAATATTTGTTTACTCTTAGTGGAGGATATATATGTTGGAAATCAACAGTTCAGTCTAGTGTGGCATTATCTACAACTGAAGGTAAGTATATGACATTAGTTGAAGCTGCTAAATAAGTCTTATGGCTTTCTGGGCTGATAAAAGAACTGAGTGTTAAGCAAAGCGGAGTTCAGTTGCATTGTGATAGTCAAAGCGCAATTTATCTGGCTAAGAACATGGTGTACCATTCGAGAACTAAGCATATTGATATCAGGTATCACAAGACCAGAGAATTGACTGCTTCTGGTGATATACAGTTGCAAAAAGTTCATATTAATGAGAATACAGCTGATATGTTGACCAAGTCAATTACTATCAACAACTTCTTGCATTTTTTGAACTAGTTGAATATTCACAGTTGCTAGACAAGTATGACAACCCAACTCACTTAGGTGTGTGAGAAACTCTCAGGTATCTTTCTCTTAAAGGGTTGGATATTCGTCAAGGTAGAGATTTGTTAGGTATGACTCATATACCAGATAAAGGACTGATGCTGGAGCGGAACAGAGCGAGCCAGCAGAGCGGAGCTTGCAAGCGGAGTGGGCGTAATTGTCGAAACTCATTAAATCTCTGTGTTTTCTTCTTGATTTGTGTCGATTCTTCCGTTTACTTTGCCCAAATTCCTCAAAAAATATACATTAATTAATATATTTTTATATGGGTATATATTAATTAGTCAAAATTCAAATTTAGATTTAAATTCTCTCCCATTAATCCTAATATTAATTGAATTATTAATTGAGTCGTTAAAGAATATTTTCAAAAACTTTACAAAAAAACCCCCACACTTCCTTTAACTATCCTTCCCAAAATCTATCTGCTTCCCTCTCTCCTCATTACCACGACTATAGATGTCTTTTATTGCTCTGCTCCTTTCCACCATCGGTGTGCCATTCCGTCTTCATCTAAAACCTGCAAACAACCTTTCAACCTCTCAAATCCACCTGTTTCAGTCTATCTCGAGCTCTCAATTCCAACCCTTATATAGAAAAAATATCTCAAATATTAAAAGTCGGCAGCTCTTCCTTTCACCTTTGTTAGTTGATCCAAGCAATCTGCCTTCCTATTCAAGCTCAACTTCGCACCTAACTCTCTATTCACAAGTCTCCTTACTGTGTTGCGCTCACTCTCATTACCTTCTCTCTCAGCTCCTGAGTTGAACAACATAATTTTAGCCCCTATTTGGTTGAACCCACAATAGCAATCTTCCTACCCAACTCTATTCACATCATTTGTTACATCCGGAGCCTAACCACACTCATTGCCTAGTATCTTATGTTCGAGTTTGTGCATGAAGAAAAATGAGGTAAAAAACTCACTAAACAACCAAATTAAAATACCCGTACATGGATTTCTTTGTGTTGCGGGAAAATTATGTTATATATACGCTTATGCTTTCTATTTGCGGGTGATAATCTTATGCACACTTTTTTAGCTCGATCATCAAAATATAACTACCTGTGCAAGCTTTTCTCAGCGTGACGAAAAAATCTATCATTATTCTATGTTTGATTTTTGCAGGTTCGAAGACCCCACGCATTTTTTTGCGTGGTGAGATATACAACTTTAGGTGGTGTCGCAAGCCGCCCATACACGCAATTCTTTGCATGGTGGACAAACCCGTTTTAGATAACATCTTCCCACCATGGGTGGGGATCCCATGTCGTCGATTGTTGTTGGATTTTGGACTGGGCGAAGTCACACAGAACATACTTTAAAAAACTTGCTAAATATAAAAATAACTAAATTGAAATGAAAAAAAATTACAAAAAAAAAAAAATTAGATACTCACAAAACAAAAAAACATATGAGAGCAATAGGAAACTTGATAGGGCATCATTGAGCCCGAATAGAAACATATTGAACTCGATACTCGTCAATGATTTTAAACATGATCCTTCAATAAATAGTTAGAAGTTATGCTATTGCCCTGAATAAACTGTGAAAAATTAAAAAATAAAATAAAAACTTCAACAAATGACTCAACTTAGAATGTTCATCAACTAGTAAAAATAAGTCCTTGCCAAAATAACATATTACAATCATTAAATCGCCACTAAATCCACAATACAAATACTAGCAGACAAAAGGCAAAGTTAAAAATTAAAATTCAGCTATTCGCACGTATTCCTATGATAATATACTTCTGCAAATAATAATGTAGTCCCTAAAAATCAATCCAAATTAACAAATTTTAAAACCCACACGTGCTCCAACGTTGTCCTAAATGACTAAATCTGCACATCTACAAATGTTGCGCAGGTTAAAAATTAAAACCAAACCATAATATTTATGCTCGGAAAACACACAAATGTTTAAATCTTACAAAAGTTATATTTTTAAAAGGAGATTTGAAATATCAAATTTGAGCGGGTCATTTGGTCTATAAGGCAGAAACAGTCACACTTTGGTCAGTCTAATAAACTTCCCCATAGGGACTAGAGTTGACAAATTGATCCCCAACATACCAGCTTGGTCCTCCTCACAAGAATTGGAGTGACAAGATTAGTATTTTAAATGATGTTTAAGTAATATCAAATCTTTGATGATGACTATGTTGAAAGGGAATTTCAACCGAAAGAGTCAACTTATAAAATTAAAATTTTAAATCATAAAATTAAGAAAGATATTTAAATGAAAACATATCACTCAATGGCCAAGACCAAAAAAATAGCTACCCACTGTAATTGTTTGTCAATGGTGACAAATTAAATATTGACTCAAGCTCGTAACAAGTCAATGTCATGTGAAATATACTAGTAAATTTACACTCTAAATAATTTTGTCAGTAAGGATGTGGCCTGAGTCATCTACATGCATGGTTTGATCAGTTGACATCATAAAATAAGCAGGTTAAGATCAGAATCATCTGACTAGATGGTTTGTCATCAAATGACATCATTATATTAAAGTCATGGCTATAGCTCGTATGCTCTCCAATAGTTCCCTCTTTAAGTTATAAATCATAGGGTATATTTGATAGAACATAAAACCCTCTCTAAGCTATGGTTGACTTAGATTAATCCCCTTAGACTAACATCCACCCCAAGTCTATGATGTTCTTTTGGACGAAGCAACCAATGTGTATTGATAAGGATCATTCTGTCAGCTTGGGTCGACTACCTCTTCTGACTAAGTAGTTTAATGACCATAACAACCCGAATGACAAAAACACGGGATCTTGATCGGGTGCGTCATCATTTTCTCCCCTAACCTAAAGCTAAGATTAATAATTTTATAATTTTAAAATCTAAATTTGTTGTTACTAAATACTAAGTCTGAATACTTAGTGTCTAATAACTAGCCTTAATCGAAAGTGCTCTTCAATTATCAAGAGGGGTAATTAATCATTGGATCTTGCGCCAATGAGAAACCTCAAACGCTGGATCTTAAAAATCCTCACAAAATGAGGGTGAAATCTCTAGGTAGTATCTTATTCACCATCTCACCTGGCCTCTAAAAATTTGACCGGAGACTTAACACCAAAACTCTCAGCGCTAAATGTTTGGGCATGAATTTATGGAGCCCACAATCTCAAAGTTACTGATTCTTCTAATAGAGTAGTTTTCTTCATATCAATATTCAATCACATAAGAACAAGGTGTTTCCCATAAACTAATATGGTCGTAGACCAACTTTGTCTTGCAAATTATATCACCCGATGTATATAGCTATTGCATAATAGTGATCATCTCTATGTACTTTTATTTATATGGTTGTCAATCCAGTTAAGATTCCTAACACCAATTAGACCCAAAAATTATTTGGATGAACTCGAACCCGAATTTTTTGAATCGAGTTGACATGTCAGGTCAAAAATTAATCACCACTACTTATTTCTCAATAAGTTGTCACAATTTATAGATAAAAGCATACCTGGAACTGATGCATAAAAGCCAATCTGGTAGCTTGTGTATATTCTGTGATGCCTCGACAAATACGCAGCTTGACCCATATACGCCAATATTAGTGCTGGATAAACTACTGTTGTGAAAGCAATCTATACTAAAAATATAATAAAATGTATGTATTATCGGTATATGACAATAAAGGCATAGAATATGTAGTTGAGGCGCATCAGAAAAGACCTGAATAGCAGCATAAGAGAAGTGGCCCAGATCTGCAAACATCGCCTCTGATCCTGAGAACGTCACATAAGAGCAAAAACTTCAATGAACTAAGCGCAAAAATAAACTTTATATTAAAAATTTCAATTTTTACATGCATGCCAATTTCCCCATGCATGAAAAGGTTATTCCTCTTTTTTAAAGTTAAAATGGTGGTATTTTTTATGTGACATGAAATATTTTGGTAGTATAGATGTAAAAAATAAAGTTTAGGTGTTAGATATGTGAATAGATAGAAATTGGGTGGTATGTATATATATGTTCCTTTTCAGTCAGAGCTGTGTGGAGTTTATTTTGACATTTCAACATATTTCAGAAACTTAGTCTGATGTTATTAATGAATGTAAAATAAGTCTTTAGACTAGTCGAGTTAAATTTCAGTTTGGATCGGTTTTCAAATATACCAATCAAGGCTGTAAAATCAAAAGAAGCGCCCTCATAAACGTCATTAAAGCATAAAAGTGCAATTTTTGAATTTTAAGAATGGCATTAATTTACCTGTAATACACAGTAAAATTCCACCTAAGGACATCCAACCACCCTTCTTAGTCTTTTTCAAAAATCTGAGCATATAATATGGAGAAAGTGCCTGGTACACATGTGGGTTCCAATGTACAATATTGTAAATGCCAAGGGCACTTATGCAAAGTAGCCAAACCAAAACAACTGGAGCGAACAGGAATCCAACCCGATGAGTGCCAAAGTGTTGCAGGGCGAATAAACAAATGATGATGAAGCAAGTGATTGGAACCACAGCATCTGCAAAGAAATGTCACGTTTTACAACAGGTGAAGAATAAGCGATCATCCATGAAATTAGCAAGTAACAAATTAGAAAAGCATTCAGAATAACAACATGATAACGACAATAATTCGCTTGAATTGTTTGTTGTTCCATAAAAAAAATCAAGGGGCATTTACAAACATGCCATACATATCCTATGTATTTATATTCCTCACATCGGAACTTTGCTTATTTACATGTATAAACATCCAAATTTTTCATATCCCCTAAAAAGTAACACTATTTTAAATTTTAAAAATTGAAATACATCTTTCCACGCATGTAGATAAGGTGGTATATAAGTAGAAATTGAAGTTTAGGTGCTAGATATATAAATACATAAGAATTGACAGGTGTGTATGTAAATCTTCCAAAAATAAATTATAAAGCTACAAATGTTGAAAAACTGACGAATTCAACCAACTCTTTGTATCGATCACGTTTTCACTTTTTCCTTATCAATTCTGTGGGATCTGAGAAGCTTTCATTTCTTAACTAATGCATGGCTTACAGCTATAGTTGAAATCCTTTCTTCGCGCAAGCAGCATAAATAGGTAGGCCATATATGTTGGGAATCAGAGGAAATCTATTCAATTACCAAGTGCAAAAAAAGGATAAAATAAGATCAACATGCCAAAAAAACCCAAGTGATGGCTTTGTTGTATTATCATCATTGTAAATTTCACTGTAATTTTATTGTTGAGTTTTTACAGCCCAAATTTCTCACGCCACAACATAAAAACACTTGAAAATAGTAACAAGCCAAAAGTACATTGAAATACCAAAAAATCAGTTGATTATAAAAACCGTAAAAGATTGCGTGTTTTCTTTTTATGGTGCAAAAGATTAAGTTCCACAACATAATAATATAATGGGATTATCAAGCATATAATGGTATATTATTGTAATCCACGCTCGATAGCTTAACAAGAAAACCTTCTCGAATAGTTGATTAAATATATGAGAAAGAAAAGCAAGCAAATACAACACAGTTGTGTCCTCTGCTAGCAAAGAATGTGTTTTTTTTAATGTTTAACTTAATAAACATTGACAATACTCATAATGGCATCAAACGAATTACTCTAAGATGTAAAATAAAAAAGAGAACAAGCAATTTTAATGGAACATCATATTCAGACTTTTTTTATCAAATCTTACCTGCTAACCACAAATACCCATTGTCTCCCCGCCTATTTCATCAACCAAAATTCAAAATTTCCAGAATATAAAGCAAAAATACATGTGAGCTTAAGCATGGTGTGGAAAAAACAGGAAAAAAATACATAAAACTAAATTCTTATGTATTTACACATCTAACTCCGAAACTTTATTTCATACATTTATACCACCCAAATCTTTCATATCACATAAAAAATACCACTATTTTCACCCTTAAAAGGTAAAATTCACCTTTTTCATGCATAGGTAATACGGTATGTAAGTAAAAATTGAATTTAAGGTGTTAGATATGGGATTGAGTGGTATGTATGTAAATGCCCCACAAATAAAGGTAAGCTTACAAATCAATCAATAAAACAGGAGCTGATACAAAAGTTTAAGAGGCTTACATTCATGGTGGCCTTTAGACATGGATAACTCAAGCCCTGAAACTGCTGAGAAAACTAGAGAATGAATGCAAACAAACAACAGGAGATCTGTTAGCCATAACAGGACATGAGTTAAAAAAAAAAATCTGAGGCAGTACTAGATTAAGCTTAGGGTGGGCAACCCACCTTAGAATTTGAAATTTCTTCATAAATGATGGGAAATTTTCAAAATAAAATTTAGGCTATATAGTAATTTTGCCCTCTCAATTAGAGGTGTAAGTGAGCCAAGCCGACTCATGAGCCAGCTCGGATGCAGCTCGATGAGTGGCTCGTGAACAGAGCTCGATGAACTAACAAACCAAGCTCAAGCCAGTGCCGACTCAACTTGTTAACTCACGAGTAGGCTTGTCTAAAAAATAATTAATAAAAAATATAATCAAAATATATTAATATTAAAAAAATTTCTTTAAATTATTAAAAAATTTTAAAAAATTATATTTTGCATTTTATATCAAGTAATTTCTTATTAATTATCTCCTAAATATTCATTCTATTTTTCATTTAATTATAACATTAGCTTAAATTAATACTTTGTTTCTCTCTTTCATGCTAACAAGCCAGCTCATTACTCATAGAATTAAGCTTGAGCTCGAGCTCAGACTCAAATCGAGGGTGGCTCGAGCTTGACTCAACTCATTTACACCCCTATTCCTAATAGATTGTTGGGGCATTTACTTGCATACCACCTAACTCTTATGTGTTTACATATTTAACACGAAAACTCTATTTCACATTTATACACACAAAATCTTTTAGATCACATTTAAAATACTATCATTTTGTTGCGTCGAGATATACACCACTAGTTGATGTGGTATATATATATAAATCAAACAGGAGAACGATCAACGAAGTGAAAAACATGAAGCGAAAAATAGAACGAGAAAAATCACACCAAAAAAGAACAATACAGCGGAACACACAGATTTACGTGCTTCGGCAAATTGTCTACGTTCACAAAGTTGCATAGGATTTTACTACTTGAGGAATTTACACCAGTTGATCACCTCTACTTACAAGAGAAATCTCTCACTTCGTTGCTCTCTCTCTTACTCTCTCTCTGTTCTTCTCTCTCTACACCGAGATACACTGAAGAAATTCTACACCGAGATACACCGAAGAAGACAAACTTAAAACAGAAATAAAATCAATTTATCTTCTGCCACAAGCCACCAAGAAGAAACCGAGAGAGAACAATTTCCTTCTTCTTCCTTCTGCCGCAAGGAACTACCGCTTGCATTTCTCTTCCTCTGCCCCGAGGAAACCGAAGAAGAACTCAAACCGTGACTTCTAAACCCAAGGAAAGACATCTGAAGCTTTTATCACGAACAGGAAGGAATGAAGGGATGCTTCGCTTCGCAACAGAGGAAGACGGGAGTGGTTGACTCCTATGATTTGTGAATTGATGTGAGGCGGGAAAGGTCGCGACTGTTTCGCGATCGAAGCGGAAGCGCAGAGCGGGATATTGCGATGTTTCGTGATCGTGTGAGCGGAAGCGGGGGTCGGACCGTGCTCCACTTCTAACAAATCTCCAACTTGGAGACCGGTACACAAACTACAACATCTCCTTCCTCAAATTGATTTCCTCCACCATGAATCCTTTACTGTGAATCTTCCACCTCTGCAACTCAAAGTCTCTGTCTTCACTCCAGAATACCAACTGAAGCTATGCACAACTTCAGTTTCTCAAGAGTAACACCCCCAGTCAATATATCAGCAAACTCCACATAGCTTTGCACCTCTAAGCTACTTCCTGGGTCACTCTTGTCTCTTCCTACAACTCTCACTACATGGGCAAAATCCTGCCTCTGCTGAAAGTTTTTTTCAACAAGTCCAACCTTGTACCTCTTACTGACATCACGATCACACTTCACCTGGTACACTCATTTGTTGTGCAATGTCTTCTTCTCTGGTGGAAGTTCTGTCAGCTCTCACTTACTCGAACTTTCATCTTGCAAGATTTATTCATAGTTCTGTGGTTCTTCAACATTTGTCTATAGAACAATAGGAATGTGTGCTCCGGACCCCCTTTCCTCTTCACTTTCATCACTGCCCTGCACTGTGGCCTCTGGTAGATTTTCTACTACATTCAAAGCCCTTGAATTCAACATCAATTCTTCAACAAAACTATGAACTGCCAAAAATAGTGTATTATGTGATTCTTCAGATACCAAATTTGCGCTATCAATCTCCATCTTCTTAGGATTTCTGCAGTTCTTTTTTATGTGGCCAGCATTGTCATAATTCTAACAGGTTGTCTGCTGACTAAACTTTGATTTTGATCTCTTTATACTTGAGTTCATGTTATGTCATCTCCCTATGAAATCAACATTCAGTGTCGAACTCGAACCTGAGACCTCGCTAGAATCTTTCCTGTGAACTTCCTCAACCAAAATCAAATCAAAAATATCATCGTATTTTAGTTTAGATTTACCTACAGAACTGCTAACCACTATTCTCATGGCTTCTCAACCATCTGACAATGAAGTCAACAAGATCAATATCTCATTATCAAAATCAATTTCAATAAACGACAATTGATTGGTGATAGTATTAAAATCATTCAGGTGTTGAGCAACAGAAACACGTTCCGCCATCTTCAAATTTAATAACTTCTTCATCAATTGCACCTTGCTATTTCCCGATGACTTTTCATACATACCTGAAAATACTGTCATGAGATTTGTAGTCATTCTTTCCTTGACAACGATGTGTGGAACGAACCTCGATATAGTCAATCGAATAACCCCCAGAACTTATCGATCCAAGAAATTCCATTCAGCCCCATCCATCCTTTCAAGTCTTTTCCCCAATAACGGAAGCAAGAAGATATTTTTTTCCCATAAATGTAATCTTCTATCTGCATTCTGCAATAACCAAAATATGTGTCATCAAATTTCTCGATCCCTGAAAGTTTCATTTCATCTGCAACCATCATTCTTCCTCAGATTTGAACAAGGCTCTGATATCAGTTATTGCGTCGAGATACACACCACCCGTTGATGTGGTATATATATAAATCAAACAAAAAAACGATCGACGAAGCGAAAAATAGAACGAAAAAAATCACACCAGAAAAGAACACACAGATTTACGTGATTCGACAAATTGCCTACGTCCACGGGGTTGCATAAGATTTTACTACCTGAGGAATTTACACCAGTAGATCACCTCGACTTACAAGAGGAATCTCTAACTTCGTTGTTCTTTCTTTTCTTCTCTCTTTATTCTTCTTTCTCTGCACCGAGATACACCGAAGAAACTTTACACTGAGATACACTGAAAAAGGCAAACTTACAAAAGAAATAAACTAAATCTATCTTCTGTCACAAGCCACCAAAAAGAAGCCTAAGGATAACAATTTTCTTCTTCTCTTTCTTCTTCCTTCCGCCGCAACGAACTCCCGCTTGCACTTCTCTTCCTCTGCCCCGAGGAAACCAAAGAAGAACAAAGAAGAACTCAAACCGTGACTAAACCGTGACTTCTAAACCCAAGGAGAGTCATTCGAAGCTTTTATCGCGAACAGGAACGAACGAAGGGATGTTTAGCTTCGCACAGAGGAAGGCGGGAGCGGTTGGCGCCTACGATTGGCGAATCGACGTCAGGCGAGAATGGTCGCGACTGTTTCGCGATCGGAGTGGGAGATCCCGATGTTTCGTGATCGGGTGAGCAGAAGCTGGGGTCGGACCGGGCTCCACTTCTAACAAATTAACTTTAAAAAAATAAAATACACATTTTCATGCATAAGTAAGGTGGCATATATATGTAAAAGCTGAAGTTCAGGTGTTAGATATGTACATACATGGGTATTGAATGACATGTGTTTAAATCTTCCTATATTTTATTACCCAATACCAACAAAAATTGTTAGCATTTGATAATTTTGCCTGCCCTTAAAATTGAAGCTTATTATGCCCCTAAAACGAATATACCTGATATAGCTGGAGTAAGAACACCATCCCCAATCACCATGCATGTACCAAGCATGACAACTACAAGGAGCGCTGTGTGTAAATTCTTGCGCTTTTCGAGCCAAATCTTCACCCAGGATCCATTGTTTTTCTCTGGAGGTACTTCCAGTTTATAGGTAGAAACTTCTTCATCTGCAACTTGTCTGTTGGGAAGAAGGCATACATTGGCATGCCTGCATATTGAAGAGTAAAGAGCAAATGTGCCGCCTGCATAACATCACAAAAACCAGCTAGTATTAAGGGGCTATTTAGCTACAAGTAGAGTTTAGTAAATCATGCAAATCGTAATAGGATTGATTCTGCATTTTGTTTGGTAAGACAAGTATGAAATCTTGCTAATGATGATAAACTATTTAGATGTTTTTCTCAAGATTTATGCTTGGCCATAAGAAAAATCATTAAATCCAATAAATTATGTGGGTGTGAAGAATTAACAAATACCGGATTTAATCAACAACTGGGTTGAAAGTTCAAACTGAATTTGACAGAATGGTGAGATTTAAAATTCTAACAGGATTTAAGCTGACTCTTGCTTGAATCTTAAAGCGTTCAAAGAAGAAGCACCTTCGCCATTGTCATCAGCTCTAAGGACGATGAAGACATACTTGACGAGAGGAACGAGTGTAAGAGTCCAAAATACAAACGAAAGAACTCCAAAAATCTCTTCATTAGTCTCTGAATGCGTGATGTCCTCGGCAAATGTGCTCTTGAAAACATACAAAGGCGAAATGCTCAAATCTCCATAAACTATCCCCAAGCTCTGATACGCTAAAATCAACGTAGATTTCCACGAATGTTTCTACAGGCTCCACAAACCCCAATTAACTCAATCAACAAATCCAACTCAATCAACAAATCCACCAAAAAAAAAACACTGAATTACTAAACCAAATGCGCATAATCCAAGCAAAACCCTTAAATTACTCACAAACCTTTCGAGTTTTAAAGCTCTTTCCAAGCTCAAGATCCATCATCAGCAGAAGCCTAAGCCTGCAGACTTCGAGTTTTGCTGTCCAACGCCTCCATTGAAGATCTGCAACACTTCAAAAACTCCGGAGGAAATCTGCATTTCACTTTCTCTCAACTAAGAAGATTCCACAAGTATCCCTTGCAACTACCTTTTTACTACTGTACCATCAAAATAAACATTTGTTTGCATTTACACACGAGCCAACCAATTCTTATCTATTTACAAATCTTATAACCAAACTCTAATTTTTACATTTTTACGGCACTAAAAATCTAACCTTTTTTTTACTTTAAAAATACTGAAATACACATTTTCATGTGTAAGTAAGTTGGTATTGAAGTTGAAATACATAAGAAGTGAATGGTACATGTGTAAGGGTCTCTTTAGGGCAACTGTAGCTTATTGAATAATCTGCTAATAAGCTAAGGTCGGTGGCTATTACAAATTTTTATTTTTTTTTGAAAAGTCAGATTGTTGTCAATAAGCTGTCACCGCGGTGTGAAAACGCTGTTTTCTGCGTTTTGAAAACGTATAAGCTGCCAAAAACGCAATTTACCCAAACAAGTCATGTGTGTTTTCAAAACACGCACCAAATAAGCTGTCCCAAACGGGTCGTAAATCTTCTTAAATAAAATTAATTAGAATTATTCATCTTAAACTCTCTTAACTGCATCAAATCACAACTAAAAATTATATAATGATACTCAAAATTATTTTTTTATATAGAATTTAAGCACCCAAGAAATTCATTTAAGAAAGTTGTGATTTAAACTATGTATAAAACCTTTTATGCAAATTAGAGTTTTCATGGGGGCTTTGGTGCATAAATGATTTTACTATTTTAGGTGAAGGAGGTGGTTAGGAAGTCTAAATCAAGAGGTTATTTTAACGTTGAGGTGGAGGGAAAAGAAAATAAAAAAAGGAAAGTTTACGTACAAGCCATACAATTTTTTTATATTTAAGTTTCTCACACCCCAAATTTTGATATTTATATTTATAACATCTTGGTTTGGTAAACTTATGCCTAAAAGCATGTATTTCACATCTAAAATGATATTGATAGTAATACTATTTATATGATGTTTGATGCGTGCCGGAAAATTCACGACGGTAGAGTAATGGATTATCGTCGTAGCGTTGCACGAAAATTCAGTACACACAAATAACAGAAGAGAAATAAACAGGAGGAGGCGCCTCGACTTTTTACTTGAAAAACCCTTGAAAGAGGGAAAAACCACGGGGTCTAGCCCAGTTGAAATAATACAACACTATGAATGATGATATGAATGATGAGTGCGCAGGTATATTCTTCCCTTAAATTAGAGAATATGAAATTACAAAGTTGTATAATTATGATATGGTTGTAGTTCTCGGTGACAGCAGATTGCAAGGGTCATTGTTGATTTTTGTGGAGGTAGTAGTCCATCGTAATGTTGTAGATGGCTGCTCCAGAAGTGTTGATTAGCAAAAGAAACTGTAGTAAGTAATTACAAGAGTTGTGGACCACATAGGCCGTAGTGGTGAGTATGAATGACGTTCGTAGACCGCCGGGCCCGGAGTCGGGAGTTACTCGAGCTCTGGATGACTTTTCATCAATAATTGAATGTTTCCTGCTTAAAATATCGTTCTGAAATTCGTGCTACCACAACAACAAGAACAAAACCTTAATCCCACTACGTAGGTCGGCTACATGAATCCTTTTTCTCCATTGTGTCCTATTTAGTGTCATATTTTCATTAAGCTTTAGTAAATTAAGATTATTTTTAATACAATAAGCCCAAGTCTTGCTAGGTCTACTTCTGTCTTTCTTAACACAAGTCAAATCTAAGACAACTACTCTCATAATTGGATCATCAAATGGTCGGCGTTTAATGTGACCAAACCATCTAAGACGACTCTCTAATTTATTACGTCTCAAGATTCGTTTTGAATGATGAAAATTTATTGCTCATGTATCAATGTTAACGCAGGTAAATATGAATGTTTTGTGGTATATAATTTTAGTCTCAGTGTCTGCTTCACTGATACGTCTAATCCATTTTATCAACATTAACACCAGCACACACTATTACTTACAAAGCAAAATATCATCACAAATAAAATTATTGCCCTCCATAAAAATTTAGATGATAAGCATTCTCTATTGACATGAATGTTTCAGCATGCAATCCAGCTCATTAGTTAAATGTTATTAAGCATCAAAACCAAAATATATATTTCATTAGGTATGCTGATTAAATCTTCTTATGCAAATTAAATGGCATAATTTATAAATAGGTGTCTCCTCATTCATATCATATCAATACAGTCATTATTTGATTTATATATAACACAAAGAGATATGTTCCATATGAAATATTATTCTCAATATCACAAAATTTACATGTATTTTCATGTCCAACACTTCAACTTTTATATTTGCATGCATGACGCTCAGATCTTATATAAAAAATTCATGTATCACTGACTTCTTAAAAGTGAAATATACATTTTCATGCACAGACCTATGACACCAAAATATTATATATGAAAATATCAAACTTTTAGGTGTTTGATATATAATGGTCTGTTTGGGGCAGCTTATTTGGTGCGGTGGCGTTTTGAAAACGCATCTGACCTGTTTGAGTAAACTGCGTTTTGACAACTTATGCGTTTTCAAAACACCAAAAATTGTGATTTCACACCCATCTAGGTGCGTCGACAACTTTCTGACAGCAGTCTGACTTTTCAAAAAAAATAAAAATTTATAATAGCCACCGCACCTAGCTTATCAACATATCATTTTTAATCAGCTTATCAACAAATTATTTAATAAGCTGCAGCTGCCCCAAACATACCCTAAATATACAAGAATTGTGTGGTATGCATGTAAATTTTCCAATATTTTTATGCTTTTTTGGGTTGGAAGCTAACATCCGGTATTGACTATGGGAGACCAAGGACATGGGGACTACATTGTGCATTCAAATGATTGAAAGGGGCTTGGGCTACACTAGAGGGGTCGGCAACAACAAAGTCTAAGTCCTAAGACAAGATTAGAAGAAATGTGAGAGATGCAAACAATATTGGAGACATTTGAACATATGAGCCAATTCTTATATATTTACATATTTAACATATAAAGTTTGCTTTTTTATATCTATACCACCCAAATATTTTATAGCACATGAAAAATACAAAATATATATTTTCATGTATGGGTAGGTTGTCAACTTGTCAAGCGTAAAAAATTGAAGTTTAGTGGTACAAATGTAAATACATGAGAATTGAGTGGTAAGCATGCAAATCTTCAAATTTTACATGCTCAGCTGAAAAAAAACAGATTTTTAAAGAAACCAAGAGGGCTTATGATGATGAACCGCCACACCACACTGCGGCGCTCGTCTACACTGGTGCTTTAATGCTCTCGTCTCCCAGAGTCGGCTTCCAAAACCTCCCGCATGTACTGTCGAGTGCATCCCTTTCACCTTTACCCAGGACCGCTAAGTCATTCTGCCAGCGAAAGCCATTGTTCATCTCAAGCTCTAAGGTGGAGGAGAGGGGCATCGAGTTCGAAACCGGCGACTCCTTCTTCCGCCACGAGAGCGCCGTCGGCCGCGATCTTAGCGTTCTCGCCGCCGCTCTCCAACGCCGCTCCATCGGCCGTGGCCTCCGTGTCATCGATGCCATGTGCGGCTGCGGCGTGCGCTCCCTGCGCTACCTCGTGCAAAGCGAGGCCGACTTCGTTTGGGCCAACGATGCCTTCGAGGGACATCGCGGCCTCATCGCTTCGAATCTCTCATCCGTGGTTCCTAGGGTTTCGGCGGAAGGGGGAAGAAGGTGGGTGGTTACTCATTATGATGCCAATCGGCTTCTCGCAGGGAGATATCTGCAGGGCGAGTACTTCGACCTTGTCGACGTCGACTCTTTCGGCAGCGATTCTTCGTTTATTAGATCAGCCATTGCTACGGTGAAGATCGGAGGGCTGTTGTATTGCACATCCACAGATGGGTTTTCTTCTGGCGGGCATCGTCCTCAGCAGTAAGAGAGTATTTTGATTCACCATTACGCCAGCCTTTTTTTTTGCTCTCTTTTCTTGGGCATTTACATTCTTTCCACCCTATTCTTATGTATTTACTAGTCTAACAGCTAAAGTTTATTGCTTTTACATTTATGCCACCCAAATCTTTCTTATCACATAAAAAATATCATTTTTCACCCATAGGTAAGGTGTCATGAATTGTAAAAATTGAAGTTTAGGTGCTAGATTTGTAAATACATAGGATTGAGTGGTATGTATATAAATCTTCCTTCTTTAATATTTTACATGGTAGTAATATTGTTCTGTTCGTTGATGATTGGCTGCGATTAACACTGTTAGCTTTCATGGATGGCAGACAACTTGCTATGGCGCTGCGTTGATCATTGAGCATTATAAATGAAAATGGGGATTTACAAACATATTACAAATCTCCTTACTAAAAAATTCCCCTTTCAAGTCTTTTATGGTATGCATCATAGAAAACTTATAAACCTCATATCATCACCCAAGCATGCATCATGTTTTCAATTTATTGCATCTTTACTATGTATTTTCATGAAATTCGTGTTTATGTAAGAAACAGGAATTTAGAAAAGGGATTATGTACTTGTTAGATTTAGAAAATAGTTTTTCTACCACCATATACATTTTAAAAACTCACGCAAGACCTTTCTGTCCTTTGAAATTTATAACTTAATATTATCATATGCTTAATTGTGAAGATGTGATAACATATTAAGAAGCCGTTGAGCTTCTTATGGCCTTTTTAACTTTTACTAATATGTTATTGTTATTGTTCTTTCTTTTGCCATTACAATACAATCCGGCATTATGAAATAGTCCTTTACTTTGAAATCACTACAGGTTATTTTTAAGTACACATTTTATTCATTAGACAAAGCAGCCTCCTACTAAAGACTCTTGGATGAAACACGAAGAATTGATGAAGGTTGCATCATATTTATTGAACAGTATCAGAATTTTGACTCTTAGAAGAAAAATTATTTTTGTCCCATAATTGATGCAATACATGGACCCATATCAAGTTGGACCAAATCTAGTTTCATGATTAGACCAAATGAAAATTGAACTTATATCAAGTTGATTATTGAATTTAAATACATATTTTTTTTAAAATGCTTATTTTTATGTAAATTAGGTAAAAATATTCCTTTGATATATTGTTTTAAATGTTAATTTGATGATATGATTAGCTTTGATTCTAAGTTTTAAACTATATCTCTATAAATAGGGATTAATAAGATGCTATTTTTCATGATGATGAATTGGATTAGATAATTTTGCTGAATCCTTATTTTCTCTCTCTAACTGATAGACCTCTCATTGGAATTCTCATTGTCTTTCTGTCTTCATGATCTCTTATATGTCATTTCTTTCTCTCCTTCTAACTGGAACCACAAAATTTCTTCTTGGGAGCTATACCAAAATGAAATTGAAGAGAAAGAAATCGAAAAGATAAATAAGAAAGATGTACATTTATAGGTTCTCAGCATTATCTTTCAATCACAGTAGGATTATATCAAAAGTCAAAATTACATTTGAGTGATATTTAAATAGTTATAAAGATGCTTAAAAGCTATATTGGATATGAGGTGCATGTATATGTTGTTTGTAGATGATATGATTTTATCAAGGTTCTTTTGTTTTTTTTGGAAGCTAGAAGTAGATGACAAGAGACTTCTGATTAATAAAACAAAGATTGAATTTATAATATGCAATTAAATTGTCATAAATTTGATAATTATCAATCATTATTGTTAAAAGATTATAGGTTTTTTCTTCCTATCATCTTTAGTTTACTAACTTGAGAATGAAGATATGCATGATGACATAACTCGTATATTTAAGTTTTACTTGTTAAATGAAGATACTCCTATTAACTATTATTTAATATTAGAATATCATGATGATTTATATAATGAATTTAGTAGAACTATAATTAGATTGGTATTGTATATGAATCTGAGTTTGAGCACCGAAGGAGTTACTATTAGTTAACTAGAGTTTGAAACATATGAATAGCTTAATACAAATATGGGGCTAGAAATTAATGTATTTTTTTTCCTGCAACCATGGTTATTGGCAATGACTCTGTAGAGTATATTCGACAAGCTTAATTAATCTGAAAACTGTTACAAAAAATAAATTGTATACAATGAAATTGCTGGATATTTTCTCAAATATACCATGAAATTTTGATTTATATGTTTTTTATCTTCTTTCACTCCTATTGGGTTAGGGGCATTTACATACATTCCACCAAATTTCTATGCATTTACATATCTTATTCCTAAACTTTACTTTTTCATATCATATCAGAAATATTACCACTGTAACTTTTATAAAGTGAAATAGACCTTCTCAGGTAAGGTGGCATATATGTAAAAATTGAAGTTTTGGTGTTAGATATGTAAATACATAGAAATTAAATTGTATGTATGTAAATCTTCCTATTGATAATTGCTTGATGTCTGTATCTAGCTGTTTTGTATTAACCAAAGACCCTCTTGTATCTACTTTCTAGTTCGTTATCTTCATATGGAGCATATGTTCGCCCTATGCCATATTCGAATGAAGTCGGTTTACGAATGCTTATAGGTGGTGCATCACGTGAAGCAGCTGCTTTAGGCTTTCTTGTTTCGCCGCTTTTCTCTTGCTACTCTTATCATGGTCCTGTATTCAGAGTAATGCTGCAAGTTTTCCGCGGTAATCTCAATGAAAGCAGGTTGAATTTTTTAGTTTTACTTTATCTTGTTTGTGTTCATTAATGTTCATTATTATATTTTTAAGTAAGATTTACATACATTACTTAATTCTTATATATTTAGATATCTAACACCAAAACTTCAATTTTTACAAACATGCAACCTTACCTATGCATGAAAATGTGTTTTTCACTTTTTAGAAGTTCAAATAATGGTATTTTTGATGTGATATGAAAAATTTGGGTGAGGTAAATGTAAAAAGTACAGTTTAGGTGTTGGATATGTAAATACATAAAAATTGGGTGATATGTATACCATTGCCACTGTATTTTAACTTCTGTGTTTGTTCATGGAAGTAACTATGGCTTCATAAGCTACTGCAATCAATGTGGACATTCTCAGACTTATCAGTGGGGTGAACTCGGGCAGATTAGTTGCCCATGCAGAAATGGAATGGTATGTTTGATTCATGTGACAAAATTCTTAACTTGGTGGTGACTAGGGGTGTAAATGAGTCAACTTGAGCCTGGTTCAGGGCAAACTTGAGCTCGGTCTGCGGTAAAAAATGTGGCTTGAACTTGAAGCTCAAATGATGAGCTTGAGGTCAGCTACCTTAGTTCTTTTAGTGCTTGAGCTCAAGCTTGGCGCTCGATAAGCTCAACTCGCTGACTTGTTAGCCAGTTGAGTTCAAGAGCCCGCTTGGCTCACTTACACCCCTAGTGGTGATTCAGAAGTTTCACTATCATCTTAAGCACTCATCAATAATTGTTCCAGCAGTCAAGAGATGGTAGAATCTTAAATGCTTGTTTGTGATCACTTTTGTATTTTATTTTCTATTTTTTATTTTTATTATATTCTGTTTATATTCTGGTTTGAATTAAAATATGTTTGATTGTGATAGTTATTTTGAAAAGGAGTCAAGATATCTATTAGGTGTTTTGAATGTTTTTAAAAATAAAAAATAAAAACATATAAAAATTTTTCTAATCAAACATATTTTCAAACAAAAATAAAAATGAAACAAAAACAAAAAATAGAAGTGATTCCAAATAGGCCATAAGGTTTCGCTTGAAAAAAAAAAGAAAACGAAAGTGATGCCAAACAGGCCCTAAGGTTTCACATGATCATGAAATATATTTGTTTGATGATTCATTCATTTTTGTTCGATTAGTTCAACTTTTTTTTGTTTGGCATAGTTGAAAACAACACAAATTTACCAAAAGAACCCTAAGTGGTTGATACGAGTCAAATAATAGATATGCATGCAGAGCGAACAAAGTTCTAGGGTTTACAAACTCATCAACATTTTGCACACCATCTTTGAGATATATAACAACTTTTATTTATTGAGCCCATACTTAAATTAACTGCCCGTCCTAACCAAATAAAAAATGTATACTATTTACATGCCAAGCTCATGTCATAATCCCATTACAATTTAGGCATCTAAATGTGTGTTTAGATTTATAAATAATAATTATTAATGATATTTTTGATGTGATACTAAAAATATGGGTGCTATATAAATAAAATATTAATGTGTAGGTGTTCAATATTATATAACAAAATTTCTTGTTCTGTTTCTCCAAGTTGACATATTTGTGCTTAACATCATTGACTAATTATATGAGTATTGTCAAACCTCATTCATCATTTTAATAAATTCAAAATGGAAAAAAAATGCAAGATTTTATTTCACCAAAATTATGCCTCCTAGCCATAGAAATAATGTTCTTTTATTATTTCATAACTTTTTATATTTATGTTAACAAGCCTAAAGTCAGAAGGTTCAGAAACTAGATTTTACATATCCTACAGGAAATTGTATGGTTTACACTGCATTTGCAGGTTTCCCATTCGGTGGTTGTATCAGGCCCCTTATGGATTGGGCCTCTTCATAACACTGACTATGTTTGCAAAATGTTGGAATTAGCTAGAGAATGGGGTTGGGCATGCAATTTGAAAAAATGTTCCAGTTTGGAAAGCATCTTGACTCAAATGATTGCTGAAAGTGACCCTCAGTTGCCTCCTGGATACATTAAACTGGATGAGGTTTTTTTCTAATTTTCATCTGTAATTTGTTGCAGCATTTCTGTTCTTTTTTTTACATATTTCTCATGACTCTTTGTAGGGGTTCATTTTAGTTCTAGAGTCCATAAAACTTCTAAATTATTCCCCAAATTCTTTTAATTGGACTTATTTAGCAGTTTTATAGACATTGAGACTAAAACGGCCTTCATGTAAATAATCAGTGAACTATTTAGAGATTTTATTCTATTTCTAATTATTCATTCTTTGTAATCAGATAGCTAGTCGAGCACAAATTAATTCTCCTCCTGTTAGTGCAATTCTAAGTGCGTTGCAGAAGGTATGTACAAAGATTGTTTTTAACTGCTTGCATAGTTTTACAACAAGCATGATTAAGCTGGCGTTGATTCTTCTTTTGAGTTATTTCTTTGTCATAAACTTTTTGGAAGATTTACGTACATACTGCTTAGTTTCTATGCACTTACATATCTATCACCTATATTTCAATTTTTACATATGTGCTACCTTATGCATGGGAAGATGTATTTTACTGAGATCTCTCTATTTGGGATAGCTTTCTGCCTGCTTTGTCTTTCAGATCGTCACCACAGCTCGGTTTGGGGAACTGTTTCTTGCTGCTTTCTAGAAATTTCTGTGGTGGAAAATTGTTTTTCTTTTTTCAACTTGACCCGTTAATAGTTGTAAGAATGAGGACTTACTACAGGTAATGTTGCAACACACTTAAAAATGTGGCTGTAAAGCTATGGTGGAGAAAACAACTGCTAAGAAAATTGCGATGGGAATTATATATATATATATATACTACGCGGACTGATAATCAGGAGAACCTTGCAGCTCCCCACCTTCAGGAATTACCAGGGGTAGAGGCGGCGACTCTTACCTCACATACACTTGTCGACACAACTGTTGGCAATCTTTCTACTGCAGCACTGCCACCTCATGCGAATGAGCAACAATCTTTGGAGGAGAAATGACAGGTCTACACTTCCAGGAGGAAGAAAAAGAATGAAGTTCTACTTGAGCTAAGGAATCTAATGGATGATACTCTAGTTATTTCGGACAATGGTACACACCTCACCAATCTGTTAGCTGGTTCATTTCCGAGAACTAGAGGCAGAAGCAAAACTAAAGTGGGTCGACCTGGTTGATCTTTTATGTACCATCTACTTTTGGGTTTTTAATTTTCTTCTTTTTCTTTTTGTGTGTGTTGTATCGTATGGGTTGGGTGCCTATTTGGGTCCACTCATACAACCTATCTGTACCCATTTCTCTTTAATATAATTGCCCTTGGGCTTTTATATATATATATATATATCTAATCACGATTCGAGGGATCTCTCGTCATGACGCGCTCGTACGCTGGCGTGACGGCCGGCGGCCGTGGTGAAACAAGTAAGAGGCCTCGCTCTTACGCTAGCGTCACCGCCGATGGTGTTCCTAACTTCCCTTCTGCTTTCTACGATAATCTTAAGCTCGATTCCGTCTCTTCTTTTGTTCGACGTCCCGACCGAAAAGGGGGAAAACTTGCTCTCTTCCTCTCTGATGGTGAGAACGTCGAACTTGCTTCTTCTTGCCGACTCCATCTGGTAGGAAAGTTCATTTATGGGATCCCTAAGTTGGAATTTCTCTAAGTTGGAATTTCTTCGAAAGATTTCTTCGAAAGCACTTTGAGTTGATGAGGCTTACGGGAGAATGGAAATTGGCCCTCTGGATGGAAGACGCATTTTGATTCAACTAGCGAACGAAAAAGACTATACGCGCCTGTTTGCTAAGCGTATGGTTTGGTTCGAGAACTGTGGGATGAAGGTGTTAAAATAGTCAGCTAACTTCGATCCTAAAGCTGAGGCCCCTGTTATTCCAGTCTGGATTAAGTTACCTTTTTTGAAAGTCCATCTTTTCAATCATGAAGTTCTTTTCTCTTTAGCGGCTATGATCGGGAGACCTTTAAATTTGGACCCTCTATGGCCAGAGTTTTAATTGAAAGGGATGTCACTTTACCTCCTCCTGATGAGGTCTGGATTGGTTCGGAGCATATTTGTTACTGACAACATGTATTATTAGAACAACACCCTTCCTACTGTACACATTGTCAAATGTTTGGGCATGATCAGGAACATTGTTTCAAATTAAATCCTAATTTAAGGGAAGGGGATGGGAGGAATCAGCCGTAGCTGCCTATAGTTGCGGCTGGGGGGGGGGGGGGGGGGGGGCTAGGCTGTGGTTGAGGGTAGAATCGAACAGGTTTTATCTGGCTCTGTCCCTCCTGCTATTTCGAATACTGGGGGGGTTTCTGTCTCTACACCTATTATTATTTCGCATGCTGATATAAACCAGGAAACGACTTACTCTACTGGTATTGCCCCGATTGAGATTATAAGGCAGGATTTAAATGTTTTGGAGTTTCCTAATATATCTATTTCTTCCTCTCCCCCCCTTAATTCGAATGTTGATAATACTCGGGATATTATCTCTGCAAATGTTATGGCAACGGGTGAAGTTCATGGGCAGGATCTTGCGGTTCCAGATCCTCCTATTATTGTTGGAGGGCTCGTCCTTCCTCGGCATATCTTTCTGATGCCTTGAATATGGATAATGTTTCGCTTTATTCTAATCTCAATGATACTCACTCTAACACCCAGTTGGATGATATTTCAAAAATATTAAGGGATGAATGACATGTACAAAAATATCGTAGAAGGAAGAATAGAGTTCAAAAGGAGGTTCAAATTCATAGTAATGGGAATATTGGGATAGAGATGAATCAATATTTTTCAGATGGAGAAAATGGACGGACCCGACCACGGACCCGACCTAGTTCTTCTAGGAAGGGTAATATGTCTAATTATGTTTAATATTATTATCTGGAATATCAGGGGAGTTGCGGATCCTCAATCCCTTGGTAGACTTAAGCTTTTGTCAAGGATTCATAAGGTGGATATTTTTGCTATTTTGGAACTCTTGGCCGCCTCTCCGGATGATCAAATCTTGGGTAAATTCAAAAACTTCTCTTTTTTTGCTAATTGTTATAACAAAATCTGGTTGTTTTGGCGGAAGCATATTACAGTTGATGTCGTTACTGATGATAGACAGTTTGTACATACTTACTTCTCTATGGATGTTTTCTCTGGCTTTTTTACCTTTGTCTACGCTGGGACTTCTAATGCTGCTAGATTTGATCTCTGGTACAAGCTTTCTGTTATGGGTACTTCTATCAATCAAAATTGAATGGCTGGTGGATTTTAATATGGTGATGCATGAATCTGAGAAATTAGATGACCGGAGATTTGACTCCACCTTAACTAATAATTTCAATGAGACGCTGGCCTTAGCGGGAATCTCTGATTTGGGATTTAGTGGTTCTAAATTTACCTGGAAAAGGGGTAAGTTGTTTGAAAGACTTGATAGATGGCTTGCCAATCAACAGTGGATTACTTCTTATGGTTTCTCTCAATTTCAACACCTATCCAGAACCAGTTCAGATCATAGTCCTCTTTTCTTATCTTTCGATTATTTTAAAAAATCATCTACGTACCACTTTCGGTTCTTAAATGTCTGGCCTGGGCTAGACATGATGATTTTTTGAGATTAATTGCGGCAAATTGGAAATGTGAGGAGATGAGAAATGCTTGGCATATTCTTTGGAAATTACATAAGAATGTGGTTGCTGCTTTAAGGCCTTGGAATTGGGATGTTTTTGGTGATGTTCATGCCAGAGTTAAAAATGCCGAGCAAAGGGTGAGTACGCTTCAGGCTCTGGATGAGAACACCACTGATATCATCCAAGATTTACAGGATGCTAATAAAGAGTTGCTTGAGGCCTCTCTTTGGGAGGAGTTGCTGAAGGAGTTGCTACAACAAAAAGCGGGGGAGACCCATTTTTCTCAGGGTGATAGAAATACTAAATATTTTCATGCTTGCATTAAACTTGCATTAAACAAAGAAAAGCTAATAACACCATTGTGAGAATAAAAAACAATGAGGGGAACTGGATTACTGGGGATGAGGAAATTGTGGAGAATGCGGTTCTTTACTTTTCTAAACTTTATGAGTTCCATGAGACATCGAGCAATATTGACGGCTCTTTGTTTGATGATGTACGACATCACATGACGGGTATTGATCTTTGTGATATTCCTACGACTGAAAAAATATATTCCACCCTCCTTGAGATTAATTGTAATAAAGCTCCGGGGCCGGATGACTTTACCTCTGCTTTCTACATTAAATGCTGGAGTATTATTAAGGATAATGTTGTGGCGACTATACAAAATTTCTTTAAAGGGGAAACTCCTGGAAATTATTTCTCTGCAGCTACTATTGTTCTCATTTCTAAAAATACTCAAAAGAGCTCTTGGGATCATTTTAAACCAATATCTCTGACTTCTGTTATTTCTAAGTTGATTAGTAAGATTTTGGTCAGACGCCTACAACCTCATCTTCACAATTTAATATCTTTGAATTAGTCTGCTTTTATTCATGGGAGGAGGATCACTGATAATATTATGCTGGCTCAGGAACTCATCTTAGATATTGACAAAAAATGTAGAGGGGGCAACATGATTACTAAATTGGATATTCATAAGGCCTATGGTTCGATAAACTGAGAGTTTATTTTGAAGATTCTCCATGCTCGTGGTTTCTCTCAGGAGTTTTGCAAAGTTATAGCTTCTTGGATTTATTGTAATAAGTACAACATTCTCATTAATGGCCAATCTCGTGGCTTTTTTAGTGTGGGCCATGGGATCAAGCAGGGGGATCATTTATCCCCTACTATATTTATTTTAATTTTTGACTATCTATCCCGCCTTCTTAACAATATTTTCAGGCGTTACCCCAAGTTGCAATATGCTTATAAATCTAATATGATGGTCTCTCACTTAGCCTATGTTGACGACATGATCCTATTTTCTAATGCTAGCAAGAATACGCTGAAAGAGATTCACAATGTTATGATTGATTTTCAATATGTCTGACATTTTTTTTAGTGCTAGTAAATGCAACATATATTTGGGGAACATGATCAATCGCTCTAATGCCTCCTGGATCGCTAATTTTTTGGGTTTCTCCCTCTCTACTTTACCACTTAAATATTTGGGGGTTTTTCTTCTTAAAGCAGGAAGAGACGTATACATTTTGATGAGGTTGTGGAAAAGATTTGGAAAAGAATCATGGATTGGAAAAATAATTTCCTCTCCTTTGGGGGACGATTACTCTGCTTAGGAGTATTCTTCATTCGCTCCCTTTATATATTCTTCAAGTTCTCCAACCCAAAAAAAGCACTATATTGAATCTTGAAAGATGTTTCAATAAGTTTTTATG